TAGACAGACAGATAGATAGATAGATAGATAGATAGATAGATAGATAGATAGATAGATAGAACAATGGACAAAATAATGGAACGATGGAATGATAAAATGACAAATAAAACGAGAAATAGAAAGACTGTAAGTGTTCATAATATGTGTAGATACTGTACCTTGCAGCCGTGAGCAGAGATGATCCTGAGGTCAGCAGGGATCCTGTCTCCTCCCTTCACCTCCACCAGATCACCACCCACCACCTCCTCAGCGTTAATCTGGAGCTTCTCACCTTCACGGATCACTAAAGCTTGCTGTGGACCACACACACACACACACACACACACACACACTTCAATTTCAACCTCTAACGAGTCTAAGGAGATAGGAGAGATTAGAGGAGCATTAATACAGTCTGGAGGATTCAGAGACTCAGCGCTGGGAGATAATAATTAGGATTATGACCAGAGAGGAAATCAACGGATTAAGATTATTGGAGTATGTTGGTTATTTGGGTTTTCACTTTGATCCACTCAGACTGTTATTTTGAGTTGAGAAGCACAGCTAGAAATATGCACTGCAAACTTTCTCACTTTTGAATTATAATTTGGATGAAGTAGAATTAGGAATCTGAACTGAGGATGTTAAAGAACTTTTATGTTGTGTACCTGGGGAACCATGTTCTTGAAAGACTCCATGATCTTCGAGCTCTTGGCCTCCTGGAAGTAGGAGAAGCAGCCGGTGATGATGACCACAGCAGACAGCACGATTCCCAGATACAACTGTGGAGGAGAGAGAGAGAGAGAGAGAGAGAGAGAGAGAGAGAGAGCAGAAGGACAGGTTATCAAATTAATGTGGAGAAAATCCTCAGGAGGCCACTGATTCACCTTGTTTGCCTTTGTGCCTCATTTAGCTCACAAACCAAAATAGAAGGCACTATGGTCAAATTCTCTAAAAACAGCTGAGTAGAATTTTTTCAGGTTTCTTTGATGAATAGAAAGTTCAGAAGAACAGCATTTATCTGAAATAGAAATCTTTTGTAACATCATAAAGGTATTTATCATCATTTTTGATCAATTTAAATCATCCTTACTAAATAAAAGTATTAATTTCAATTATCCCCCCCTCAAAAATAAATAAATAAATAATACTGACTCCAAGCTTTTGAAAGGTATAGTGTATAATGTTACAAGCGCTTTTTATTTCAGATAAATGCTAATCTTTGGATCTTTCCATTCATCAAAGAATCCTGAAAAAACAATGTACTCAACTGTTTTAAATATTGATCATAATAATAATAATAAAACGTTTCTTGAACAGCAAATCGGCATATTAGAATGATTTCTGAATGATAATGTGACTCTGAAGGCTGGAGTAATGATGCTGAAAATTGATAAGGATCATGATATATTTTACATTTTATTCCTACATTTTAGGAGATGCATTTTTGCTCATGCTAATGAAGGATGCTAACCAGTCCAACCCTGACCTCATAACAAAGTGCAAGACATTTAGTGAAAGAGAGACCGAAAATTTGTTGTTTTAGAATTAATTTGCTAAAACTAAAATGAGGGGAAAGGCTTTTTATTCTCAACCCAACCTCTTCAAAATGCTTTCTGCCACCCATGACTTTTCTGCAATCCATATGAACTATAAAAGGAATAGATCATATTTAATACAGCATTATTACCAAAACCAAAATAACACAGATTACAAATAAAAGACTTGCTATTGAATGGGATTACTGATTATGTCACAAACATGGCCTTATCTACTCACAGGAAAATTGTCCTAAATTTTGCACACTCTAAACGGCAGCATAACGCATATTTAGTGTAAATGTATGCTTTTGTGAGTGTGTGAGTTCTCACATTGTCATTGGCAGGCTCGTCCTCCGTGGCGGCCTGGATGGCGTAGGCCAGGAAGCAGAGGATGGCTCCGATCCACAGCAGGATGGAGAATCCTCCGAAGAGCTGTCGGCAGAATTTGACCCACTCTGGGGTGGTGGGGGGTGGGGTGAGAGCGTTGGGACCGTCCCGAGCGAGGTACTCCGCCGCCTTGGCATTAGTCAGACCCTTCAGGGGACAAGAGAGTGTGAGAGGAAATCTGATTCAAGAGTTCACGTCAAACACTACCGCACTGCCACTAGAGGGCGATTGGCGGCACTGTGTTTTAGGAGATTTGTTGAGATCACAGTTCCTGTTCTAAAACATTAGTGCTTCAGATCGGCTCATTAAGGTGAAATTAGTTCACTGTTAGAGGGATAGTTTACCTGGGTAAACAAACAGTTGCTGGTCCCTATCAATTCCCATAGCATTTGTTCCCCATACTATGGAATTCAATGGGGACCAATGGAGACTGTTTGGTTACCAGCATTCTTCACAATATCTTCCTTTATGTTCCACAGATGCATTAAACTCATGCAGGTTTGGAACAATTTGAGGGTGAATGGTGACATTTTTGGGTTGACTGTCCCTTTAAGTTGCTTTGGATGATCTGTTAAAGGGCAAGTTAACAAGTCTTACATCTGACATAATAATCAGAAAAATCTATTTTTATTAATTATTATTATTATTTAAATAGTTCACTGATGCTTTAGACAAAATATTTTAAAACATCAAAATAAAAAAGTTAGCAGACTTTTTTTTGAGTATCATATCTGATACATCAGGCTTTTGTCTTATATAATATGATATAGGAGAATATGGAGCCCCATAGTTGAGGAGGAAACACCTTAATTTTATTTAGAGGCCCAAACTGAGCAAACATGTTGATATTTATATGACCAGTAAGATGAAATTCTGATGATGTAACATAAATCAATGAGAAGTGTATCAGTATCAATTAACTAAATATCAGTTGTCACTTTATATCTCCTAATAATATGCCTTAGTAAGATGATATTTAAATGTTTAGCTCTATGATCAAAGCTCTGTAGTTTTTACTATGGGGAAAAACATAAATGAGCAAATAAACGTTAAACAAATAAACAATAATCAAAAAGCCTGACGTATCATATTTGACACTCACATTTTAATGAATTTTATTTCAATTTTTAATGATTTTTTCTTAAAACATATTACGGATAATCAAGGATCTTTATATATTACAAACATTGTAAAAGTTATTTTTGTGTTTACTTGATAAAAATAACTGCAAAAAGACACAAACAATAACCTGATACTAAAAGACCTTTAACTTGATAAAAAGTATAAACTATCAATCAGACAACAGAAGGCATGTAGTAGATTGTGTACAACAGGTTTCTCAGCAAGGTTTGATCACGTTGATAATTAAGAGGCCTTAGAAATTTGAGTAATATATATGATACAGAATATAGGGTTAATACAAGCTGTACTTTTTTGCAGTACATAATGACTGTTTTAGTGCCATGTTAAAATAAAATAAATAAATAAAAACAACTTTAAGAAGTAAGTAAGCCTCTTATTACGAAACCACAACTAGATCCTAGTGAACTGGCAAATTACAGACCCATTTCAAATCTTCCGTTTATATCTAAAATTTTAGAAAAGCTTGTGTCCGCTCCATTGTGCTCCTTCTTGACTCACATTTTAATGAATTTTATTTCAATTTTTAATGATTTTTTCTTAAAACATATTACGGATAATCAAGGATCTTTATATATTACAAACATTGTAAAAGTTATTTTTGTGTTTACTTGATAAAAATAACTGCAAAAAGACACAAACAATAACCTGATACTAAAAGACCTTTAACTTGATAAAAAGTATAAACTATCAATCAGACAACAGAAGGCATGTAGTAGATTGTGTACAACAGGTTTCTCAGCAAGGTTTGATCACGTTGATAATTAAGAGGCCTTAGAAATTTGAGTAATATATATGATACAGAATATAGGGTTAATACAAGCTGTACTTTTTTGCAGTACATAATGACTGTTTTAGTGCCATGTTAAAATAAAATAAATAAATAAAAACAACTTTAAGAAGTAAGTAAGCCTCTTATTACGAAACCACAACTAGATCCTAGTGAACTGGCAAATTACAGACCCATTTCAAATCTTCCGTTTATATCTAAAATTTTAGAAAAGCTTGTGTCCGCTCCATTGTGCTCCTTCTTGCAAAAAAAAGATCTCTATGAAGAATTTCAGTCAGGTTTCAGATCCTACCTGTTCGATCGCTACCACTTTGTTTATTTAAATGGGGAGTCATCTCAATTATCACCAGTTAAGTATGGAGTGCCACAAGGATCTGTCCTAGGTCCTCTGCTATTTTCAATACACATGCTGCCCCTTGGTAATATTATTAGAAAATACGGGATTTGTTTCCATTGTTATGCTGATGATACTCAACTATATATCTCAACAAGACGATGAGATAAACGAAAGATGAAAATTCTAAATTATCTAAGCTAACAGAGTGTGTTAAAAATGTAAAAGATTGGATGATCAATAATTTTCTCCAATTAAATTTGAATAAAACGGAGATATTACTTATTGGACCAAAAAACAGTACACAGAATCTCTTGGATTTTTTTGTTTTTTAATCTTACTATAGTTAGAAGTACTGAGGAGGGTCAGGTTTTTGAGGATTTAAAATGTGAAGCTTTTTAAAATAAAATGTAACATTTTTGAGAAGAGATTTTTCAAACCCCTCAGAGGACCTCAGATGATGCCAACCCTGAAACAATATAAACTACCAAATTTTGCTACAAGTTTGATTTCAACATATAATCATTGCTGTTGATAGTGTTCATCGTCTGTTTGATTATGTCATTAACTGAATTTTACCATACATTTATGCCATATGTACATCAATTTTACATGGTCACCACCAGTGTTGGGGGTAACGCATTACAAGTAAGGCCAGTTACGTAATCAGATTACTTTTTCCAAGTAACTAGTAAAGTAACTCATTCACTAAGTAACGTAATTAGTTACTTTTTTATGGAGTAACGCAACATTGTAATGCATTACTTTTAAAAATAACTTTCCCCAACACTGGTCACCACTGATAAGCTACTACTAAATATATTGTAGAAATGTAATTTTATGTAAAGCTGCTTTGCAACGATTTTTATCGTGAAAAGCGCTATACAAATAAACTTGAATTGAATTGAAGTAAGTAATAACATTGTAGCATTACAATAATTAATTCATTTAAATTTGACAATACAGGCTTAATTTTACAAGATTAAAGGGAGTCAGTCAATATTTAAAAAAAGATAAAATGCGGGCAAAATAAAAATCTCCATTGACATTGTATGTAATAAACAAACTAAGAGACATTTTTCAAAATATCTTCTTTTGCGTCCCACAGAAGAAAGTCATACAGGTTTGGAATAACATAAGTGTGAACAAATGATGACTGTTTTTTTTTTTTTGAGGGTGAACTATCCCAAAAACCAAGAGACGACCAGAAGATGTCATTTTATGTGAAAAAGTAGAAATATTTTGATAAAACAAAACAAAAAAACAATATAGGCAATTATAGAAATAGGGCACCAGAGTAGCCTCATCAGTGAGGACATGGACGATTTAGTTCAATTCAACTTTAGCATAAGATTCACCAAGACAGAAATCCTTAGTCTATTGGTGCATCGGCATCAAGTTATCTTTAGCATCCAGACACATTCACAATTATGAAGGAAATTTAATTTATTCAGGAGAGAAAGAACCAGACAGACAGTCAGGAAATTGCCTCTTTTCCGCAATCTCAAATGACAACCAGTGTTCAACTCCACTTCACTTTGATGTTCCTTTTCATAAGATTCTCAGAATATTACTACTTTAATCTCATAACACTTTCATACATTCTCATAATTTTAACTTGATTCCATAAATATTACTACTTTGATCTCTAAAATATTAGGACTTTATTCTCAAAACCACGCCTTTATTCTAGTAAAAAGCCTTTTCTGAGGCTATTTTTAAAACATCATTCTTGTAATACTATCTTGGGTTTTAAGATTTATTTTAATGTAGTGCTACAGTGCCATCATATGAAACATCTGGCTTGTTGACGTGATTTAAGAAACTCACCTGTACAATGTCAGTGCTGTATTTTCGGCATACTTCTTCAATTGACATCTTATGCTCTGTCTGGGGGGGGGGACAAGAGTTTCTATAGAGTCAACCGGCCACAAAGATTGAACCACAACCTTTTGATTCAAGGCAAAGAAGTTTTTGAAATTCAATACAGTATGGTGCACTTAAATTCATTTATGAGGCACTGAACTGCTCATCCTAGGAAGCACTGTGGCTAAATTACATAACCGAAGCAGTACGTAGAATATAAAATTATTCCCTATAGGTCACTGATAGTAAGTATTAAATACATAATGCATTTGAAGTTAGATATAAAAACATGTAGATGTCGATGTGTCTTACCAGCGGAACTTCCTTCTTTAGGTCATCCAGGTCTTTCCCTCCCTTTCCCTGTTTAGGAGACTCATTCTCATCTTTTTCCTGCGTGGTCGCCACGCGGTAGCTGTCCGACCGTCCATACTGCAGGAAAAAAAATTAGGATTATTTTTTCAACTACAAAATTAGACCTAAAATAAAGCCAGCTGGCAATGGAACCCATTTGTTAACATAATGTAAATGAAATAAAAACATACATGAAACCTATTAGATATTAGAACAATTTCATATATTAACATATATATATATATATATATATATATATATCTAGCCCATACAAACATGTATGTTTATGCATGCAATACATTTTTGGACATATGTCATGTACATGCATATCCATTCTAAAATCCATCAAAACATGTTGATATATAAGTAAATACAAAAGATAGACATGTATTTGAGAACATTATTACAAAAACATACTTAGTCAGATTTTTTGCATAAATGTTGCTTATATAAATAGAGTCGCATATATAAATAAGATATATACTGTTCACATATATGGTTGTTATTTATAAAACCATAAAATATCATCATACAGGCAGTATTAACGTATGCAAGTTAGAAACTTTTACTTTCAGAAATTATACAAAATTATATATCGTGCATATATATACTGTGTATATATATATATATATATACATATACATACATAAATACATGCACACAAACACACACACAGCATATACATATATAGCAATATCTCTCTTGATATAGGGTAATACATTATATGTCATATATTACATTTCCATCTGGGAATTCAAGACAATAAATAACTTTTTTTTATTTTTAACACATAAGCCAGGCAGTATGAACTTTCAAAAAAGCTATAGTTAACCTTTTTATTAGTCAAATAAAATCTATTCTAGCATATTTACTGCCAAAACATATCTAGCATATATGATGACTGTAAAACCAAGACATTATAAAAAAATAATAAAAACAATGGCTATATATTTGAGGCACAAAGAGTAGCAGGACATTTCCCACAAATGACACAAACAGGTTCAGCTTCATAAACCAGAGAACTTGAACAAAATGTGTCCCAGCTGAAACTGCAATACTACCATGAACACACAGATGGGCTCATATTTAAGCATCACTCAGCACCTTCTGCCACACTGCGAGAGACACACGGGGCAGGAACTGAGGAACCGATGCTTTCCATGACTGAGGATGAGAGGGGAAATGCCAGCCGGATAATGCTTCATCCACTATCCTGCTTATCTTTGAAACCGTGAAGCTTTAACAGGAACCCCATGCGGGATACGGGGGGTGGTGTGAGTGCGGGGGCTGTTGAGGGGGGTCTAGTGCACTTTAATCCACATTAGGGCTTTTCATTGATGTGGCATCCCCTGATTTGCCATGTGTGCTTCTGTGACCTATTTTAGCTTGCATGCACAACCAGACGGCATTACTGTCAAATCCACCATTACAGCACACCAGCGTGCTCACATGATAATGTGCAATGCATAAAATGCATCCATAAATGATTCTGATGTAAAAGCTGGTTGATAATATTATAAAAAATTTAAAAAAGTAAAAAAAATGAAGTATTATTAAAGGAATAAAATATGATTGCAGATTTGACAGAATGTCTGAATGAACTTAATCCAAAGTAGTTCATATTTGACTTTTACTGTTGACAGAACATGAACACTGAATAGTCATATAGTCATAAATATTTTGTCTTTTATTAGCAGATTTTATTTGTCATTAATGTTAATTATAAGGTTCAACTCTACATAAAAATTGCAAAAAATATATATAATGGCATATAAATATTGAATAATTCCAATGAAACAAAAGCTATTAAATTACAAACAAACAAACAAATCAATAAATCTATCAAATGATCCCCCAAAATATTAATTTACCCAATTGTAGCTTGTGTTATTTGATACTAATTATGTTCATCGCAGGGTTAACTCACTATTATTCAGGAACTATTATTAAAACAAAACATGGAGGAAATAAACAATCCTTAAAAATACTTAAAAAATATTGAAAATATCAACTGATGATAAACTCAATTTTTAGTAGCAGCTTGTTTTGAATGAACTATGTTCCAGGGTTATTATAGTTAACTAATATAACCATAAAAAAGTCAATAAAACTTTTTACTTGAAATAAATGCTAACTAAAATAAAATTAAATATTAAAAACGTGTTTTATTTCATCTAGTTTCCAAGGCAACATTTTGCATTTTCATTTAGTTAACTTCATGTACTAAAATAACTAAAACTGAAATTAAAATTAATAAAAGCTATAAAGACATATTTAAAAACAAAAAAATAAATAAAAACGAAAAAAAAAATTACTCAAACTTGAACTAAAATTAGAAAATATATAAGAAAATATAAAAATAAAATCTAATTCAAAAATATTAACAAAAACGATAAGAGTATCTCAGTGATACTAAAATAACTCTGCTGTGTTTATCATTATGTTCAACAGGACAGTATTTATTTTGTTTAAAAAAAAATGGTAAAAAAAAAAGTGCTTAAAAATAAACAAATAAACCAAAACACTACAAAACACAAAAGGCCAAGATTGTAGCATCCTCGTGGTCGTGTGTTGAAACAGTTTGACCATCTGTCAAGGGTTTTTCCTCTTTCTGTCCTCTGGGTGAGACGGCAGTGCAGGATTAAGACTGTTTACTACAGTCTGGATTAACCTACTGAACAACGTAATCCTGCTCCTGCTTTTCTCTTATTCATACATTCAATCGCTCAGATGCTTTGAAATACACTATACTGTCTATTTTTAATATTTATATTGTCTTAACTCATCCACTCGCTTTGTTTATACTTTGCTGTCTAATGTAGTCCAATCATTTTGATGGTGCTGCCTGACACTGGTACACTGTGTTCTCGCTGTATCATGAAACATCATCCATTTGACTGTCTGCGGTTCTCTCTTCATCGCTCGTGCATTACAGTTACAGACTCAGTCGTGACCCTGAGATCAGACGTGGCACACGTGCACATTCATGTCCAGGGCCATCGCCCGCAGTGCCGGAGGATGTGTGGAGAACGGTAGCTGCTCCACTTTAGTAAATCCAGTGGGGTTTGTCTCAGGCCTGATTAAGATTACGTTCTCCTAGAGCAGGGGTAGGCAAGTTCGGTCCTAGAGAGCCGCAGTCCTGCAGAGTTCAGCTCCAACCCTAATCAAACACACCTGAACAAGCTAATCAATGTCTTCAGGATTACTAAGGCTATAGGCAGGTGAGTTTTTTTTTCAGGGTTGGAGCTGAACTCTGCAGGACTGTGGCTCTCTAGGACCGAATTTGCCTACCCCTGTCCTAGAGAGACCCACGACTGAATTGTAAGAGGGTTCTGGATGAGAGCTTGACCATCATGTTAATATTACAGAAACAGTTCACTCAAAAATGAAAAATCTGATTTATTCACCCTCATGTCAGTCCGAATGTGTAGCCTATGTTTTCTTTATCCTGTAGACTGGCACCAGAGTTATTACTGTTAACTAAAACCATAAAAAATGTGTTACTCGTATAAAATCATCGTTAACTGAAATAAAATGTAAATACATTTACTTATTTTATTTCAGCTAGTTTCCAAAGCAACATTTCTAATTTTTAATATGTTTAACTTGACGTACTAAAACAACTAAAACTATAACTTCAATAAAATGTAATAACAACATATTTAGACAACAAAAGACAACATAGACAACAAAACAAAAAACAGAAAACACAACAAAACTACTAAAACTTCAACTAAAATTAAATTAACCGATATAAAAATAAAATTCAAAATATTAACTAAAACTATTATAGCATCTAAGTTATACTGAAATAACTCTGGACTACACTGTAAAAAAAAATAATTTTTCATAAAACATGAAACATGGCCGACATTGAGACTTCTGGTGCGTTCAAGTCATGTCGGATAGATCGTATTTACGAGTTGAACGTACATGAACGCCACCACAAAGTCGTTATTACGAGTGGGAAACTCGAAATGTCCAAGTTGGGGGTGTGTCAATGAGAAACTTGGCAGAATCGATGGATGCAACGTCTGTAGTTGACGGTAAATTTTTGTTTAAATTGATAGTTTAGTTGTCCTATAAACTTAAATTGGTCATGTTCTTGTTATGCAGCTAGTTAATGAAATCCAAATAAAAAAAATGCTATCATTACTTTTTAAAAATATTAAAAACGCAAAACACACCTGATGCAAATTCTTTGCTCTTCATTTTCTATAAGCAGAGTTAACAGACCCTGACTAATGGCTAAATGACTAATTAAATGTTAGAGCTATCCATTATGTAGCAGCAGAGAAGCTAAAATCATGTAGTAAGAGAATGATGGGGTGTTTAATTTAAGTGTTGTGTCCAGAAATAAAGCATATTGTGCATGCATTCAATTCGGCCAAAGGCGAAATTAGTATGTTAGTGTGCAATGGATTCCTAAAGCATGGGTGTGAATTAAAACGTCTCTGTTCTGTACGTGAAATATTACTTTAGCAAAAATGTGTCTGATAACAAATGTGATGCACACTGTAAAAGATCAAACTTGTACATAAAACAGATTGTAAAAAGATTATTGGAGTACATGTTGCATGAATATACTATTTAAGCCTTTCTACTTCAAAATTTCATGTTTAATTCAATGTGTTATTTGCTATTTTTGTTTGTTAAATTTTTGTAAATTGTTCGTGAAATATACTGGCGATGTCTCTGTAAAAATTATTTTGACACCAAATTTGTTCAGCGTACGTGTCAACTTTAAGTGTTAGTATTTTATACATCTAAAAATGTAATCATTTTTTGCATTGTGTCATTATTTTCATAATAGCTCTCCCCTCAAATTCCTATTACCATAATGAAAAAAAAAATCATATAAATAAATGAATAAATATAAATAAATGAGCACAAATATGCTCAGTTGAATATAAATCTTTGCATATGTTTTACAGTCATACAGTAAAAATGACTGAATTACAGTAATGGGAATTAATGAACATTTTAATTGAGAATAATAATAAATGTGCTCATTTTAATATATGAAGTGTGAAATTCTACTAATAAACCTTGATGTAAACTTGAAAAAAAATTACTTGTGCGTTATATTTTTATTCCATACATGTTTTACAACTTCCTTGTCACTAAAAATGCCATAATACGTTTCGCTACTAAAATTCTTAAGTAATTCGAATTTAAATGCATAATTTTAAAGTGAATTCATTTTAGCACACACCAGACAGTTGATACAGTCGTGGTCACTGTGGTTTGCTAAATATATAGGAAAGCAACCTTGGCATGGAACAAACTGATTAAAACCTGCTATTGACATTTGAGGGCCAATCAAATAAGCTTGCTGTCTGACCTTGAAGGTCTCACAGGATATGACATCACATCGGCGTCTGGCAAATTGACTGATTGCGTATCTGCTATAGCTTTGCTTCATATGACCCCAGGCTTTGACACAAAAATAAGGCTTGATTGTGTGCTTTAGTGGAAAGTACACACACACACACATACATATCCAAAATCACTCAGTGAGAATGATCTATTGAACAGCGTCCATTACACAACCATCTATTATAAGACTTTTCACCACCAGTCTGTTTCTCATTCACAGATACACAATTATCAGTCATGCAACATGTAAAATTATTTAAACAGATATTTAAACCCCATTGTTGCCATTTTTACTTAAACAACAAAGTGATTTATTATCAAAACAAAATGGTGACAGACACCACAGTGAAATTTTAGAAAACGAAAAGCAAAAGAAACCACATTTCAAACCGATTTTACACTAGCAGATGACATTTCTGCTATTCTAAGCATCCTAATCACATGCAGTGCCCTTGAAGCCTTCAGACAGCCTTGCGTCTTTGGCTGCATGTCCCAAGGGCATCGCAGAGTCACCCTCCAAGAAACATTCACGTCATAATAATTGCAGACAACCCCGAGCGCCTGAGCCTCCTACAACTGCCTCACTGCTGTTCTCAAGGTGACACCAGGTAACAGCCTGCTGTTAACCTTTCCTGCCCTGCACACCTCATTCCCTTACTATATCAGCCCATCCGTGACATCATTTCAAAGCTCAGAACCTTGGCTATAGTGGAATATTATCATACTGCACTATACTGTATACTGCATACTATATATAAAAACTAGCAAGTGGAACAGAACACATTATGGAACTATAAACATTTCGTTCATTATGTTGCATTAATAACTCAGGGAGTAATTTAATTCAATTTTGATTCAATTAATTTAATTAATTCAATTATTATTTCTGAAATAAAAGTAATTTACCTTTTAATTGTAAAAACATACTATGTGTTAAGAAATTTGGTGTAGAATCAATTTTCACTCAGAAATTGCTAGCAAATTTCACAGTTAATTACAAAGACACTGCAAGGAACATATTGAATGAAATGTATATATATATATATATATATATGAAGAGTTCATTTGCAAATACCGATAAACGCCACTTTAAAAAAAAATGAGCTGATTGCCATGCATTATTTTCCACATATAGCGCGATCTGAACCCTAAAATCGTTTTGTCAAAAAAGCCGGTTTTGTCCACTTTCAAGGCATCGCGAGTTCACGTTTTACTGCAGAAGCCGACAAGCGCCCTTGTTGTTTTTGAGCAGGAGCCGATAAGTCCATTTTAGCGAATCAGCGCGCTGTATTCAGGTCAGGTGACAAGGCTACTTTGACTTTGAAAAGAAGTGCTAGTTGAGAGGAGTTTCGTCAAAGCTGACTAAAAGTGATCGAGGATGGATAATTTCGACGAACTTGATGAACCTGTGATATCTTCTTCAGGGCGAAAAAGGAAAATAAAAGCTGAAGCGTTTTCACGGAACCTTGCAAAAGCAGCGCGTTACAATGGAGAGGGAAAAGCTCCGTGTATTGCGTGTAATCACATCCATACAGTTTATGATCACAACAACAACAACGTTTGTCAGGCATCTACATTGTCATCTGAGGAGATTACAAAGATTAAACGAGTGTTTTTTTAAACTCTAAAACATGAAATGTGGAGTTATCGGCTTTTGCCAAAAAACGACAGTTGGAGTTATCTGCTTTGGCTATAAAACAAACTTTTAATATGTAAAAAAAAACACTTTCAATGAACTATAATTTTGTAAATTACCTGTATTTGTTTAAGTTATTATTACTCAATCAAAACAACCCAACTGCAGTTTGATTGATATTACTTGGAATGCGTAATTAAAAAAATGTGATTTCTCAAAAAAAAAAATTAAAATGGAGTTATCGGTTTTTGCAAATGAACTCTTCACACACTGTATGTAGTAGCTGTGCATTGTGGGATACTATATTTTGCACTTACTATGGCTGAAATCACTCAATTGCTCTCTTACTCACTATTCCCTACATAGTGAATGCCATTTAGTGCTGTATGAAGATAATAAGTAAACAATAGGTATACTTACCGAACTACATAGAGACAGTAATCAATATTTACTCATTCAGGTTTTTTGTTCATATTGATTATAAATACAAACAACTGCCAACAAGTAGTATTATGAACAACTGTACATTATTATGAGTGTACAGGTGTTCCATGTTTGCGAAAATGAATACTGTACACACATTATACTGTATATACTACATTCTGTACACTGTAAAAAAATATTTTTTGAGGTTGTAAATAAAACAAAGATTTTTGGAATACATTTTATAAATACTATTAGTAAAAAAACTATGGATATTGAAAGTGGAAGAGAGCACTGTGCTTATACTCCCCCTCCTCCATTTCCTTGCGGTGATGAGAATCAAACCCACAACCTTTGGGTTACAAGTCTGACTCTCTAACCACAACCACAACTGCCCGAGTTGTCCACATGAATTATTTGTAAAATTTACTGAGTGAAACTAGTTTAAAGTAAATTATGCATATTCTGTTCTAAGCATAGTCAGTCTCCAAGAGACATTCACCTCATACAAATTGCCAGCAACCCCAAACACCTGAGCCTCTTACAAATGACTCACTCAAGCCTCTCTCAAGGTGACACCAGGTAACACCCTCCTGTAACCCCATCATTCACTTTCCATGCCCATTTTATTCTCCTCCTGCATCACTCCATTCCCACCACCCTCTCAGTCCCCAAACCTTCATTTTGGCCCAGCGCATCTTTCCAATCACGCAGCCTCTCCCTACTGATTGATTGGCTCAAGACCAATCAATCATCAGCGACTGCGAATACGGCCCCGCCCTCCCGTCATCGCCGCCCTCGTGGCGCTACACAGACCAATCGCGGTTACTTGTTCGGGAATTTCCACTCTCATTAATCAACCTCCACTTTGACGCAGTCACCGTCCGTCGAGCCCGGTTACCCCTCCGGGCATCACGACCGATATCAGCATGTCAAAACAACACAGAAATCGAGATACAGAACCTCGTGTGCGATGGAAAAGGTATCGTTTGAAAGAGAACTTTGCGTCACAACATCACCATTCAATTCCAGATCGAATGATTTGTTTCTTTTAATTTGAATGTCAGATTTCCAGTTCTGGTTATTGCAAGGTCGCAAAATAACAAGCTAGAAGGCGCTTGGTGTGATTAGTTAGAAATATTCGCGCTTCAGTCGTCAGCAGACGTCCATTTTGACGCAGATGGCCGCGCGTCTACTGACCAATTTGACTCGCTTTGGGATTTAATTCTGTCATAAATGTGATAAGATGTAGGATAGTCGGCTGTGAAACTATTGAAACGGGTCAGTCCAGATGCAGTCATCCCATATCCATGCGCTCCCCCACCCCTATCTGTGGTTAACGCCTTTCATTTAGGAGACTGACAGAATTTCTCCTCAGACTTTCCAGACTTGCAAACGACGTATAGCCAGGAAATAATTGTGGAAAACTCACCTGGTTAAGATTTTGTTTTCCTAGTTAGTAAACTTTGCTGCCGTCATTCATTAAAAGCAGATATAGTCCATTTATAAATTGGTGGATTCTAAAAAGGTATAGCAAATTTACAAATCACGACTACCAAAAATGATCACTTTATGGCCATGTAAGTTTTCTGGTGTCGTGTTAAAAACAGGCGTAATCCCGAATTGCTAACCTCAAACGATCATTACTGCGGTCGTCAACGTTATTTTCCTGACGCGCTGGCATGGCACCTTTGACAGAACGAACAGGCGCAAACAGAAACGTTATAATCATAAAGTGCTTCTGAATATGTGTTATTATGATATCTTACCGGTATGTATTTGAAACATATTAGTTATCAATGATAATTTTGATATTTGATATCATTTTGCGTTTACCTCAGTGCGCCTTTTTTGCATTGAATGAGAGTAGCTAGCGCCTATATATTCCATTTCTAGCATCTATGCGAAACGACTTAGATTATTATATTATGGTGTATATACCTAATATGCCAATATGTGCATGTCAATTCACCATTATTCTTCATTTGTTCCATTTAACTGCATCATGACGCATCGGACTGGGTGCAAAAATGAAGCATCCCATTTGACGCAATTGCTAAACGATCGAGCAGCGTTATTTCACAATGTCAGTGATGTTAAACCCGCAGTCTAGGGTTAAAACGCCCACAGCATAACTGATAAATGTTTGCTTAACATTTACAATGTTTTTAGTAGTAAGCAATACGTTAATTGAGAGATAAATGCACCTGTTTAATGCAATGTTTTGCCAAAATACATACAGACACGTTCACACACAAATCTCATAACCCCGAATAATTCTGAAGATGCATGGCATTCAAAACGGGCAAGCGTTTAAAATAGATTCTTACCCCCATTTTGGAGCCGTCAGTCGCTGTGTCTTCAGTCAGTCAAACTGCGTTTGGTTTCAGTCAAGCGGGAGAGAAGAAAAATTAAGCTTTTGAACGGATAACGACGGCCAGCGTTTGAACGAACCTCTGTCTATGAATTAAATCTATATATTCTTGAAGATACCATTACAGGGGGTCTACATTAAGAAAAAACTTAAAGAATGGCCCAAGCTACATTGGTTTCTAAAAGCACATGTGGCAGCCTTTGATATAATGATAGAAGAGCATATGCAGCGCAGAGGAGTATAAAGCGTCTCTGGCTGAGAATGATGCCGGTGAGATGAAGAGCCGACGCGCCCACTCTGCCTCTCTGTGTTCGTCCGCCGCTAGTGCTTCGAGCCGCGGCACGCACTTCTTATCCCTCCGCGAGCGACAGTAGCCCCATAAACGCATGTAATGTACAGACATGCCAATGAGATAATGTTCCAGAAGAATCTGGTTATATTAAGAGAATTTTACAAATTTGCATCTCCAATGAACAATATCAGCAGACACTTGTTTGATTGCCTACCTGATTCTAAGATGGATTATTATGCTGAATCATGGCCGAACCATTGGACAGGCTAATGGACATAATATTTCACAAACAACTAGTACCCTTGTGCTATACAGTGATGTTTTTGGCATCAGAAGAATGTAGTAAGTTTGTGGAGTCCGTAAACTTAACAAAACACATCCTAAAAGTTCCCGTTGTCAAGGACTGTCATTTATACTGTTATTTATACTGAGATGCTGCTGCGATACATTCAAGAATCAAGTTTCTTTATTAGCATCTATGGTTCCATGAAGAACCTTTAACATCCATGGAACCTTTCCATCCCACAAAAGGTTATTTACAGTGGATAAAGGTTCTTTAGATTATTAAAATGTTCTTCACACTAAGAAAAATGTTTATTTTAAGAACTGTTCACTGAAAGCTTCCTTGGGGAACCAAAAATGGTTCTATGGCATTGCTGTGGAAATCTTTTGGAACCTTTATTTTTAAGTGTACATTGCTTTTCACATCTTATTTTAAATCAGTTCAACAAATGATCAAAATATCATTTTATGGATGGCACTGTTGTCTGTGGCCAATGCATCAAAGCAGCCTATAAGTGTCATGCCCCTGGACTGTCTGTGTGTGTTTTTGTCCCCATGTGCTCCCCGTGACCCAGTTTCTCCCTTGTTTGATTGTGTTAATTTGATTTAGGTGTGTCTCCTCTATTACCCTCGTTTAGTATTTAAAGTGTTGTCTGTTCTATGGTTCCTTTGTCCAGCCTGCCTGTGTTTCCCCTTAGATGTTAATTAAAGACTGTTATTCCTGAATCTCCTTTGTCTCCGCATTCCTTGCTCCTCACAGTAAGCAACCGTGACAGAACACTGGACCAACAAAAAGAAGTATATTGCATGTTCCCCTCCGTTTGTTTTCTGTGTTTTGTACCGTGTTTTGTTTTGTTTTTCCCTATGGATCTCCTCGCTGCTAAATTCACCGCCCTTGCCCGTAAGGACCTTCCCATCTTTGAGTATGTTGTTGAGTTCAGCCAGCTTGCTGTTTTAACGGCGTTTGACGACGCTGCGCTGAATTCACTGTTCTGGATCGGGGCAAATTACCATCGCCCCGTTGATCTGGAGAGCGTCCGGCCCCGATCCAGAACACAGCCCGACCCAGAGCCCAGCCCACCATCACACCGCTGCGCGAAGCCAAAGCCCGAGCCCACCTATGATGGAGAGCCCGAGCCCGCCACGACTGACGAGCCATCACCCAATGGCACGACAGAGCTGAGGATCGCCACGGACCCGGAGCTTTTCAAGTGACGTCAGACCAGGTGCGAGAGCCAGTTACAACGCTCGCCACGAGGGAGAAGGCCGTGGACAGCGAGAGTGTGGAGAGAAGCTCCGCCGACTGAACCATGGCTGAGGGTGAGCTAACAAGGGATCTGGGACTGCTGGATTTTGAAGGTGCCCTAATAGACTGGGAGGCAGATATATATGCGAACATGCCCATTCTCCTCCCACCTTCCTCGGACTTACCAGTCTGCCCTGAACTGTCTGCCAGCCTTGTCGTTCCCCTGTCTGACGTGCTCCCGGTGCTGGGAGTCGTGATTTGGTGTGTGTGGGCAGAGCACACCAGCCCTGAGAGCTCGGAGGCTCAGAAATAACCACCCACCCTCCCGCTCCTGCCTCCTCCACCGCAGTCGTCTGGCAGCCCCTTTGCTCACCCTCAGCCCACCATCTGTTCGGTGCGAGCACCACAGGTCTGCCAGTCTCCATCGTTGGCATGGCTGGAGAATCCCTTGCCTTCACCTCCAGCCTTTGACGCGCCGTCCGGGAGGGGGGCGAACTATCATGCCCCTGGACTGTCTGTGTGTGTTTTTGTCCCCATGTGCTCCCTGTGACCCAGTTTGATTGTGTTCATTTGATTCAGGTGTGTCTTGTCTATTACCCTAGTTTAGTATTTAAAATGTTGTCTGTTCTATGGTTCCTTTGTTCAGTGTTATACATCTAGTGGTGCTACGTGTGTCTCCTGCCTGCCTGTGTTTCCCCTTGGATGTTAATTAAAGACTGTTATTCCTGAATCTCCTTCATCTCCGCGTTCCTTACTCCTCACAGTAAGCAACCGTGACAATAAGCTCTGTAAGACTTCTCAAACTTATTTTGATTATCCGCACAAGGATATTTGTGATTGTGTGTATGAGGGGGGATGGCAGATAAGGGCAAACAGATACAGCGATCAGGTATTTTTAAATGCAGCGAGAAAAAGTGAGTCAAACGCAGGTAATGAGGTATGATTGAGCTGTAGAGACAAAATGAGTCAGCCATCTAATCAGAGTCTGGATCGAGAGAGAGGAAATAAACATAAAAGAGATGTATAGACAGAATAAAATGGATGAAACGAGCTCAGGATGACAGGAGATTTCACGCGTTTCACCATGCAGGTGCTAAGAATAGATTAATGAGGCCTAAAACAATCAGGGTCACACCATTTATCTGAGAATCACATTTCCAGGATGGATCTAGAAAACTTTACTACAGCAGCATCATTTATCACCATCAGTGATATCAAATAATTTGTATTAATATTTATTTAAACGCTCATTTACTTAAGTCAGTAACCTATGGAATACCGTTTCCGTAATTGTAACTTTTTTTCCCGTAATTGCGAGTTTATATCTCTCAATTCTAACTTTATAGCACACAGTTGCAACTTGCATGACACAATTCTGACTTTATAACTCGCAATTGCAAGTTTTCTTGCAAATCTTATAAAATAAGTCACAATTGAGAGATGTAAAATCACAACTGTGCAAACAAAGTCAGAACTGTGAGATAAATAGTTGCATTACCTTATTTTTATTCAACGGAGAAAACAAGCTTTCATAGCAAACCTCACAATGTGGTAGATGTAAAGTAAATCATTTTATATTTTTGGTTAAACTTGCCTGATCTTACCTTTTACTTAAAGGGTTAGTTCACCCAAAAATGATAATTAGCTTGTGTTTTACTTACCCTCGAAGCATCCTGGGTGTATATGACTTTCTTCTTTCAGACGAATCCAGTCAGAGTTATATAAAAAATTGTCTTTGATCTTTCAAGCTGTTTAATGGCACTCAGCGGGTGTTGCAGTTGAACAGTCCACAAGTCGTCAAATAAAGCTCACGGAGATCAAAACAAAACAACGGTCACTTATTAGAAGTACAAAACGAGGATTTGTAAAGAAGAATGTCGGAGGATTTCGATATAAGCCAAGAGGAGACTGGTTTTCCTTTGCTAAAGTAAGGAAACTTTGCTTCCTTTGCTCCTATTAAACAAACTCGCGAGACTAGCATATCTCAGAGGCGCGCGCGCTGCGCATACGTCATGCGCCTTCCGCCGGAACGGATCCGCGTATGATAGATAACGGAAGTGAGAGAAAAGTGTTTATTACGTTTGAAATATGGATATTTTTCTTACAAAAACTCAGGGATTCGCTACAGGGGGCCTTTATTCATCCCCCGGAGACGTCTGCGGCACGTTTTATTATGAATGCGCAAGCTTTATTTGACGACTTGTGGACTGTTCAACTGCAACACCCGCTGAGTGCCATTAAACAGCTTGAAAGATCAAAGACTATTTTTAATATAACTCCGACTGGATTCATCTGAAAGAAGAAAGTCATATACACCTAGGATGCTTTGAGGGTAAGTAAAACACAAGCTAATTTTCATTTTTGGGTGAACTAACCCTTCAATGCTTAGATGAACATATTTTCTTCAAAAAATATAAGTAGTGCTAGTGGTGGTCAATCTGTATTTACATAAGATTAACCGAAAGATACTGTGCAATCCATAACATTACTTTCCAACTGTGTTCTCAAGGCCACATGAGAACCTACAGTGCTGCAGTCAATAAATCTTTTACAGTTGTTTATAGCAACCCGAGCTTGCCATTCACATCATCTGTTTATGTCCCATTGAGTCTGGTAAACAAAGTTCTTCTTTTTCAGAGAACAAATTAGCTGACAGCATCCAAACCACACTATACTTAACCTTTTTCTCATTTCATCCTCCATCAGGTCCCCATAGCAATGGCTGCTAAGTAACCTTGCCCCCTAATCAAGCTGGAAAGATATTGAGAAAATGATATGTGGAGATGCAGTCGGGGGGCTGAAGGACATGTTTGATTAACCTCTCCAAACCAAAACTTCTAATTTAAGCAAATACTTCAGAATTTTGATTGCTGTAGATGTTTCAGGTAATGAGGCTAATCATTCGGTTTAGCATGAAAGTGCAGTTAAAAATAGCCTCTGTTCATATTCCTTTGGCTGAAGTGCACTCATTCCGTTGCCTAAGACTATTGGCTCACATTATTCTCCTTTTTCTTTTGTCACTCTGTAAAACCCTGCAGCTAGTGGCACATTATATATTTATGCAATAGATAAATGCTTTATCGATCCCTGAGATGAAATGTAATGGTATTTACTTCATAAGAGATAAGAGTTCAGTTAGAGCTTGACACACTGAGCTATCATGAACCACAGTGTTCCTTATACACACTCAACTAACAAGAGTCATTGCTACATCTATTTTTGTCTCTGTCTACATGTGCATTCAAGACTGTCAAAGTTTGTTATGGGTACAGTGGTGGCGTCTCCATTTGTAGATGCCTAAA